CCCAGGAAGGAGTGTTCTGTATGTTTACGGACTCATTTGCCATTGGCTCTTGTTACCTGCCTCAGTTTTCTCTCATTTCTCACAACTTTCTTTGGTCATAGGATAAATGCTGATTTTAAATTATGGAAACAGAAAGCCTGCAAAAGAGGCTTTAATTTTTGAAAGTTAAATTAGAGAGAAAAAAAGTTTTTTCAAGCATAGGCACAGTTGGAATACTTTTGCATTAATTAATATTGCAAGCTTACGTTTATAATGGAAAAGTTGCTTTGAAGAAAAAACATTGTTCTTCCTGATGCCATTAGCACTGGCAGCATTCTTCATTGTATGCCATTCCTGGGGAAGGTTAGGAAGGCTGCAGTTTGACAGCTTCCATGTGTGGTAGTGTGGAAGCTTAATCCAAAAACCTCAATTCATCAAAGATACTGTATAAGTGCTTGGAAAATGTTATGGCAGTCATGTCTGAGAAAAGGGAGAGAAATGCTTCATGTAGTAGAAATGCCTGCAGGGAGTGTCCCAAGAGCAGGGCTGGGTTCAGCCAGATGACTCACTTCTAACTGAATACTGGAAGCATTCGTCTTCATGGTTTGCTCTGAAATTCATTCCCAATTATTTGTGTGTACCTTCTCCATACACAGGAGCTGTTGTACTCGGGTTTTGGAACCTGAAAACAAGCCCTTTATTGATGATGAGGTCAGGACACTTCTGGGAATGGTGGCTTGTTGGTTACCAGCTGCTCCCCAGCCAGAAGGAGGTTGTCCTTCTGTTTTGATGAGTTGTGCTTTGTTTCTTTTTCTTACTTAAAAAAAAAAATTACACTGTCTGCTGTGATATTTCTTTGTGATGGGATTGCTAGACTTGGTAGACTGTAAGAATTACTGGTAAAATGTTCCAAGACAGAAGTGTGTACATGCTGGGTGCCTTCCCCATGGAATCTCTGCACTGCTGCTTGTAGAGTCAGTAGATCTGTGAGCAGTGCTCCCCTTCCCGTTCAAGTGGGGTAAGAAATTGGCTTTTAAGGTTGTTTGGGCCTTACAGCAGTTTCTGTTGGTTTCAATTTTTTGTTGTGGCACATTTGGTGTAGATGAGGGAGCCTAAGCTGAAGTTGGAAATAAAAGCCTCAGTAACAAGTAGCAGTGAAACAAGCGCCTTCATTGGCCTTCCTTTTAGTTACAGTAACATAAATAGGAGAAAGCTCTGACAAGATCTTCTGTGTACAACTGCAGGTAGAATTTAGTTCAGCAGCCAACTCCTTAATTATTGGATTGTCTAGAGTCTGCAGCTAATTCTGCCCTTTATGGCATTGCTTTTTTTATGCAGTACATTGTTTTGGAAATAATACTGACATACCAGCACTCCCAGTCTGAGATTTGAAAACAGTGTTTTTGAATCAGTTGATATTTGTCACTGTGTACCCAAATATTAGTAATGATTCAAAAAACTCAAATGAGATTATTGAGTGGTTGTTAGACATGTTTAAAGTCAGTTTGTGCAATGACATGATGAAGAAATACTGAAGCTGTCGGGCAAGTGTCTGGTCCTGTAAATAAACTTGAAAAGCAGAATCTACTGATTTGAGGGAGGGGTTGTCAACAGTTGAAGACCAACCAAATGTTAGTTCAGGAAAATGTAATATCAAATCATACCTTTCATAATGAATGTCCCAATCACAATGAGTCATGGTTGTTTTCACCCAGACCATGAGTTCATGGACAAAAGCATGAAAAGGAACTTCTATACTTGTGCATTTCACATCCTTATTTTAGAAGTGCCTTGCTTAAAGGTTAGTGATTACTTTTATTTACCTACACTGATGTGTCTTTTGGTGAGTTAGTTAAAACATATCTCCAAATAATACCAAGAGAAACATGACTTTTGTGCGTACGCATATAAAAAACTTGTATGAATTATTACTTAGAAGTATATAAAAGAGCAGATGTGAACCTCTCCATGTGCCTTCAGAGGTCCTGTATGGTTCTTAGCTAGACATTTAAAGGTGAGTATGGTGTGAAAGACTAAAGATTAAATATATCCAGACAAGGATTAATAAAAACAGTGAGTTAATGAAAGTTCTGTTAAGTTTTGGAAGGTTTTGAAACTGGGTTGATAAGTGACATATCCTTTTTGTTCTGTTTAAGAAAGATTGATAATCTGACAACATCCAAAGTAATTGTTTTACAAAGCAGGTAGAGGGTTGATAGAAATAGCACTTTTGTGGGTGAGGGAGGCATTGGAGCTGTCTGGGCCTTTTGTCATGGCGGGGTTTTTGTGCTTTCCTTTTGGTGTAGATTTACAAGCAAAAGATAGTGAAGTTGTTCTTGCTGGGAAAGGACTGGCTGTCACACACAACACTTTACTCACTCATGCTGTTTTGAGCTGCATGTTATCACTCCATTGAGATGCTCACTTACCCTTACTAAGAAACTTGTATTTATTCTTAAATTTATTATTATTGCTCATCATCCTGACAGTAGTAACTTGCACTATAGGACTGATTTGGCTATTGGAATGTTGACGGTTTTATTTTTAAATATTTGTAAGAATTGAAAATTAGTTCAAGATATGCCAATCTAAAAATCTTATGAAACAACTCTCCTTAAAAAAAAATTAAAGCATTCTTTCCTCTGGAAGGCCAGTGAGGTCTGTGAGGTTACCTGGTGGCTGCACAGCCACCCACTAAACAGAAAAAGGCTGCAGAAGGGACGGTCCATCAAGGAAGGAGAGAGAAATTATCCTTTTTCTCTGTGTGTTTTTCAGCTGCTGATGGGAGCAAAATGCTGTCTTGAGATTTTCTGGTATCTCTTCAGCCTGCAGAATGTCAACATTCACAGGCTTCTAAGGGGAGTGTGCCAAGGCAGCCAGAGCTGTGGAAGAACGTGTTGCTCAGCATGCCCTTGAACAGCAAAATCCTTTCTAGGGTAGAGGAGGGCCCCCCTGATAGAGGCATGTTGTTAAGCCTTTGATTATACAGAAAACTAAAGAAGAGCAATCAAACTCGAGCACCAGATATCATTTGGCAAACCATGAGGGAAATGATTGCTGGTTATTTGGCAGTGGGAAGGTAGCAAATGGCTGTGCTCTAGTTGTGCAGGCAAGGAAAATACAGCTGGGATTGTAACCAAAGGGTCAGTCTCTGCAAACCTGCTGCTCCTTAGTACGTGCTAGGCACTGTCTTGAACTGATGCAAAACCCTCCACATTTAATATGTTTTAAAAGATAACCCAATAAAATGTAAATTTCATTCATAAAAATATGAAAGTCAAAACTACCATTTCCCTGCCAGCAGTTACTCATCTGCCTGCACTTGTGTCATGTCTCATATAGCTTTGTATAATGTAACAGTTTCCTTTATGATGTTGTGGCTTTCAATATATATGCATGCCTGTGCTTTGAATACACAATTTAGATGACAATTGTAATGTGTATCTTTTCATCTCCTCACTACAGAAGTCACAGCTCATATTACACGTTAGTGTTCTATGCCAGTACCTTGTTTTCATGGTGAAAGTTATTTTACCAAAACCAGTAGTGATGGTATTTCTTTTGACAGAACAAATTTAAATTTGATGGTATTGTGATTTATCACAAGCTCTGTTTTATTTAAGGGGAGTATCAGATATGAGCTGCGTGTTGGTTTTGATAGGTGATTTTTCACATACTTCTGTCGCAGCTGAAATTCTCTCTGGCATTCTATTTTACCAGCTTTTCATTATTTCCCCTTACTGTTGTGGTTATGTAAAAAGGACAGTTGTTGTCTTTTAAATTTGCTTTTCCCTCTTACGTGGTTCTCTTGTGTATGTCCATACTGGGAATATGAAGTAGTGAATAATGTTGAATTTCTTTTAAATGCAATCCAAGAAAAGTGAATTTGTCAGTTTATTCAGCTAGTATAGATTGGGATAAATTGTATTTCAGTCTCACCTAAAAGTTTATTCAATGTTTAAGTCTTGTGTGCATTTTATATTTTGTGGTTTTAGCCTAGTTAGGTCTCATTACAATCTTTTAAGGAGTACTTTTTGCAGTATGTAAGACATGTTTAAACATAGTTCCCAAACTTGGTTTTGAAGCCAAAGTAAATGAGGTCTTGTAGCGCCACATTCCAGTGATTCTGACACCAGAAGAGTATCTGCACTAATAATTTTTTGTATTAAAGTGGCTGGATTTTTATATGCCTGCAAGAAGCAAGACTGAACTCTGACATGGAGAAACATTTCAAGGCACTAACAAATGTTTTCAGGGAATCTTTTTTCCTCTCTGGGAAAATAAAAAACCCAACCAAGAAAACCTGAAAAAGCAAGAAACTCATTTTGACAAAAAGTCAAATTATATTTTACAACAGACTCAATAAAACTAGTTTCATTTAATTTTGTTTAGTGTTTTATTTTTGTTTCAGGTTTCCTGCTTCAGTCTGTAGAGATACTTCTGCCTGTTTGTGTATTAAGAATTATGCCAAAAATTATCTGAGTACTTAGACAAATCAAAACCCCCAAGTATTTTGAAATATTTGCTTAAGTGGACTTATGTATGTTTTAGGTATTTGAGTGAATGTGAAACATTCAATTTTCATCATATTTGCAGCCCAGTTTGCAAACTGAGATTTTTGTCCTGGGAAAAACAACAAAAAAACCTTGTAAAGGTGACAAACCTGATTCATACCAGGAAAGTGAATTAAGGCACAGATAACAGATGAGAGCTGCATCAGCTTGGCCTTGTATGGCTGTGCTGAACTTTGCCAGATAGAAAGAAGAATCACTTTCTGCTGTCAGTGCCTCTCGCTGCAGGGCAAGGGAAGCCTGGGCCAGGCTGCTGATGGATGTGTGCCCAGCTGGTTTTGGGCTGATCAGCTCTTCTGCCATCCCTAGGTGTTGAGGGGAAAAGGATGTGGCATGTTTGACAATCCAGAGTACATTTTTCTTCTCATTGTTGTAATAACAATTACATGTTTTATAGTGTTGATTCTTTCAAATTTACAATTAAAGAGTCCTCATCTTGTTTGCTTTCAGATTCTTCTCATTCTTTTCATCGAGATGAGACCATCGTTATTGCCCTGGCATCTGTGTCTGTACTGGCTGTTCTCATAGCTGCTCTGTTCTTTGGATACAGGATGCTTGCAGGTAGGACTTGACAATATTTTTGGCTTTGTTTTTTTCCATTGTTTGTTTGGCTATTGCTCAGAGCTATACTTAGGTCTTCTGTTCTCCCCAGTCCTGTTATATGCTTGTACATAATGCTGCTCCCCTTTCTCCTCTCTGACATTTTATAGTGATATTCCTTTTATAACAGTTTGGAGAGAGTTATGGCTTCTCTAAGCTGGCATTTTGGGACCCATTTTTCTTCTACAAATCCTCTGCTCAGCGCAGCTTAAGTGAGGTGGTGAACATGCTTTATAGTTATTGCCAGTGACTTTGAATTATCAAAATAGTTGTGTAGCAGATATCTGTAGTTTGTGGCTTATCAGCACCTTCACTGCTCATTTTGCTGACTTTGAGAAGATTTTACAGGACTTCTTTTTACTTATTTCATCCTTGCCTACAATATGTAATTCTGCCTGGTCCCAGGTAAGTTGCATTTTTTTCACTTGGAGAATGTCCAGAAAGGAAACTGGCTGATTTCCTCCTCACCCTCTCCCCCAGGAGACCGTAAACAAGGTTTGCACAGTATGAACATGATGGAGGCAGCGGCATCAGAGCCCTCATTGGATCTGGATAATCTAAAGTTGTTGGAGGTAAATATTCAACTCAGTTATTAATCTTTATTTTTATTTAATATAATGCTTGTGGTCATATCCCAGGCATAGTTACAGAAATGAATGTATCAGTGCTCCTGTAATATTTGCTTCTAAATCACAGCTTCAAGAAGAAATTAAAATAAAAAAAGGGTTATTGCAGGTACATTTTGTCTAATTCTTTTAGTAATGTTGTTGGCATTTGCTAGAACATTTTTTACCTTGAGAACAAAATAAGAAACCCTGGGAGGTAGTGGGGAAAATTAGAAGGTGCTATATTTCAGCATTGCATCAGAAGATCCATCTGTTTTGCTTGACACTGTTTGCTTTTAATACAGTGTCCTACTGTAGGAATTTAAAATTCTTTAGTAAGACTCTTGGAAAATAGAATTTACTGCACATAGGGCAGTATATTTTAGTATATGGTGCATTTCTGTGAAGTCATTCTTCCCTGTGGGGCTCTATCCAACTCCATGGCAACTAGAGGCCAACCAGAACTTTCTGCTCAGCTTGGTGTTAGAGATATCATCACAAAACTGCAAAATGTTATGCTTCCAGTTGGTATGCTTGATATAGCATATGGAATTTTTAAAACCTTTTAGCCACGAAAACATGAGTAGAACGACTGAGATGCAGAGTGGTGCTTTTCTTCTTTTTCCCAGTGGAAACCCCACCTGGAGATGCAGACTGCAGACATGCAGTGTGAGTTGCTCTAATGGTGACAGCACTGATGAGCAAAGAACTTTGGGTGTCTTCTGACACCAAAAAAGGACTTGAGGCAGAGTTTAGGAGAGTCTAACAGTGGGTTTTGTAGAAGTGTGCAAAGCCCCAGATGAAAGCACTTGTACTGATAATGCAGACTTGGAGAAAGCTGTGACTTTCTCCAAGTCCGAAACTTGGTAGAGAGAAATGCTACGGTGTCTTCTGTCCTGCTTCTTGTATCCTCAGGAGCTGACCCCTTGCCTCCAGTCACAGGGACAAATGTTTTAATCTGTGCTTGCCTTTGGACGTTTCTGTGGGTAGATTACATTGCACATTCATACCTTGAGCTGACTTGCTGCTGCTTTGCAACCCAGTACTATCAAAGCACTGAGAAACAGAAAGTTTCTCAATTAAATGATACTTTATTTTTGAAAACGTTCCTGTAAGACAATTTTATAATCTTTAGAAACATTGCTTTTGTTATCCCTTCTGTTTTCTCTTCCTCCTCTATTTGTAAGTATTTAAAAAGTTTAAAAAATGGCTCATGAAATCCTTACAGTTTCATGTATGGGTCTTCCTGAAAATTATTTTAAATAGGTGCTTAAATTCTTATGTAGTTGGAATTTTTTGAGCTTTAGAAATGAGGGCTCTTCCTGAAGGTGGTCCTGCATTTTGGCTTAGAGTGGAGATCACTTCTTTGTTCTGCAGTTACTATGGAGATGTGAAAGGCCATTCTTGAAGACTGTCTAATATAGTGGGGGCTAGAATAAATATTCACAGGTAGTCAGGAATTAATTACTTCCTTCTTTTAAAATCTTTTTTCCTCTTTTGGCATCTATTTTGCACTGCAAATGCATGTTTTGTCACTACTAACATGAAAGGTACAACTTACAAACTGTCCTAAACCTAAAATATTTCCCTTAAAGTCTGTGATTTCTGGAGTGAAATGAAATTGATCACATAAAAGCTATAAATCTGTAGTAGGCAAAAGTTGTAAGAGAATTAGCAGCACAAAACACATGTGTTTTATTGATTCTGTATATAAAAGTACTGAATAGATTATTTATGATATATGTACTGGATATTCAGATTATAAATCAATTTAGTAAAGCCTATGTTGGCTTGTGCTGAGGTTTCTAACTTCAAATAGCCTCTATGAAAGCATTCTATTCTAATTCCGGTTTTCATTACAAAATACTCGCTATCTTCATTGTTCTTACAGTGTAAGTCAGGATAAAAGTTGGCATACAATTCTTGTAGAGTGAAAACTCGGGTTTTGTCTTCACCTTTTATTTTGTGAACGAATTGTTTCTGTTTTCTGCAGCTGATTGGCCGGGGGCGGTACGGAGCAGTGTACAAAGGTTCCCTAGATGAGCGCCCAGTTGCTGTGAAAGTCTTTTCTTTTGCCAATCGTCAGAACTTTGTCAATGAGAGGAACATTTACAGGATTCCGCTGATGGAGCACGAGAACATCGCCCGCTTCATTGTGGGGGATGAGAGATTCACTGCAGACGGCCGGATGGAATATTTATTGGTGATGGAATATTACCCCAATGTAAGTGCTTCAAGAAAATCAGTCGGCTTGGTTAAGAATCCTAAGAATAGCCACATGAAAAGGATGTACTTTAGGTTTTGGTGGTGCCTCTTGCACAGTAATGTAAAAATAATCCATATCAATGACAGTTTTAATGGATCTTATTGTGGGTTACTGTAATACCTTTTTAGACTTCCTGGTTAGTGCTACCAAATGTAGTCTTACAAATTCCTAGCTCTGGAGTACTTGGTCTTGGTTTTGGTGCAAGGTTTTTTTAGTCAATTTTGTCTTTATTCAATGACAGAATTTGAAGAATTGTTTTTATGTAAAAGTAATCTAATAAATGTAAAACTTCTTAATATTAAGACATTATCTCTGTCTTATGACATCGCTCAATAGCTGTAAATAGTGGGGTTTTTTACAGTGAAATGTAATAGATACAAGATTGTTGTCAAACGACTTTATGGTACTATAAATCATGGTGACTTTTTATCCTGGTATCTTCTTTAAAGCTTTCTGTAGCATATACTGATGATGTAGGACATGTCTTAAGAAGACAGCCTTACTTTCCAGAACCTTCAAATCTCATCAGCTAACTGAAGGCTTGTATTTCTCAAATTCATGGATTAGGGAACTTCATGCTCTGTGTGTGTACACACATATACAGAAACAGAAACATTTAAAAAATACTCAGTATAAATGTGACTAGCTTTCCTGAAAAATCATAAAATGTATGTGGGGGATATATGTATGAAAGTGCAAAAAATGGTGTCTCAATTTATTTTGGGGGAGTTTTTTGCCTGTATATGGGAAAGAACCTTAGTTATTCCATTAAATAATTTTCTTTAACAAGCTTTTTAGTCTCAAGTAAGCAAACTTGTGTTTCCTGCAGAATGTGAAGGGAATGGCTGAAGCCTGATCTTTTATGGAGGCAGTAGGACAACAGCTGCTTATTTGAATAGCAGAAAGGAGCAGGACAGTGCTACATAGCAGTAATGATGGCCAGTCTTAGGGTTTTTTAGGCTCTGTGCATATGCTTGTATTGCAAGTTAAGTGCACTCATGTAAATACATGCCTTAAACATAGGTATGTATTTACACATTTGTGCACTATATACAAACTTAAGGCAGCAAAGCACAAATATAAAAAGTGACTTAACTGAAACTTCTCAGTGAGAACACACTCTATCAGGTCAGCTTGCAAGACAGGCATCTAAGAAGAGGTTGCAGAAACTGGAAGTGGCCATGAAAAAGGTCAGTTGTGTCCATACCAGATGGACAGTGGCAAAGCATGCGATTCTGACAAAGCTGGCATGTTTTCATGTAATAAAATGAAAGTTAAGTAAAATCAAGGGAGTATTCTGCTCCTAGGAGGCATGGCATAACTGTCTTCAGAGGTGATCTGGTTTTGCTATTTTCTTGAATGAAAGGATTTTCAGTTAAAATGTCATTTGATTGAAAATTGTGTCTTGTTGCTTATGTAAATAGGCTCTGTTAATGACCTGATTAAATGTACAGATGAAGCTTATGACTTCATATTATCAGATTCCTTCCCAACGTGGTATTAAGAACAGCAAGATTAGTCTAAAATCAATCCACTGTTGTTTGGAAGTCATTGGAAAAAGTGCACAGCAGGTGTAATTAATGCACAGTGTGATCTGTATTTTAGTGAGCAGATGTTCTGTTGTATGTGGAGTTAACAGCAGAAAAGGAGGCCTGCTGTGGCAGCCCTGCTAGAAGGGAATTCCAGTGTTCAAACTGGAGCCATAAATCTGATTTCAATAAGGACTAACCAATACAAGATGTGCAGATGAAATATTCCCCATCCAAAACATCATTCTCTCTCATAATACTTTCCTTCCTGAAAATAAGAACACACAAGCCAGGGCATTTTTACACGGAAAATTGTTCTTGGTGTTACCTTGGTGAAAGCAAGACAGATAGGTTTGAGCCAGGTTTTGTTTTTTTCCAAACATGCCCACAGACCAAAGGAAATAGGCAAGTAAAAGGAATGCTATGTGCATTTATCAATCAGCATGCTGTTCTGATGGGACTCGGAGGTGTAGCAGGTCAGTAAGGGAGTCAGTTGTAAAGCATGACGTGGTGGGAAATATGTAATACCCACAGAATTATCACCCCAGTAGTCAGACACTCTTGTCTTTTCAGAACAAGAGTAAAAGTGTTCTAAAACACAAATAGAATCTCTGGTTGTTAAAAATATCACTTTTATCAAAAGTTAAAGTCAGAACGAATATCCCCAATTTAATGTGTAACTCATGACTGACAAGATAGTCTTAAATACAAATATATCTCCCTCTAAATCTTGACTAAAAGTCTTCCTGGTTATCATTTTAACTTCACTAAAAGCATAAAATCACAGACTTCAGCTGGCTTAAAAAACATCGAGTGGTGGGCAGGCTCTGCAGCAGAAACATCTTGAAGCTGGTTTAATACAGTGAATATTTGCCAGTCACCTTATGACAACAGTCCTGTGGCCTCCATTAGAAAGGGTTGAAATGTCAACCCACTAAGCCAAGAAAAAAAACAAAGCTTAAGGAATAATGGTCTAAAGCCCACATTTTAGAAACCCAGGCTGTTACATCAGCAATTACCTTTATTCTGTTCTGCAACAAGACTTTTATAATTAATATCATTTTTTCTAGAGGCAGTCCCTGTTATTCTATGATCAAATTCATATTTCACTTTAGAGAAACGAAATGGCAGCACTCGAATGAGACTTCGGTCAAATGCTGTGTTTTAAAACGTGTGGGTAAACTCAAAAGCAGTTACAGATTTATACCTTTTAGAAGCAATGGGTAAAATTGAGTCTCCAAAAGATTTTGAGTTATTCTACTGGATAATGATTTCAATCTGTGTTTTTTTTGTTTTGTCTTTTTCTGGGGTTCTTCTCAGGGTTCTTTGTGCAAATATTTGAGTCTCCACACAAGTGACTGGGTGAGCTCGTGTCGTTTGGCTCACTCAATAACGCGGGGCTTGGCGTACCTGCACACGGAGCTGCCTCGAGGAGGTAAGGCCAGGAAGGGATGCAAAGATCTCAGTATATTCCTATTTCTGTCAAGTCATAGATTCCAGCCTTTCCTTTATGCTACTGTGAGTAGGAATTGATGAGTGCAGATAGAGGTTGCTCTGTTCCCTCCTTGGGAGCCGTGCTGCGGCTCTGTGGCCCTTGTGTGGCAGCCCTGGGTCCGAGGTGGGAGAGGCAGGAGGAGGCAGAGCTGTGCAGTGCTGCTGTATCATGGCAACAGGTTACTGAAGAGCTGAAGCACTGCCCGCCTCTCTGGCAGAGGGTAAACAGATGAGGTGCTGTCTGTTTTTGCAGTTCAGAAATCACCAAAGCAGTTTTTAGTTTGTGTGTGAACCGTATGCTGTCAAATTAAGTATTCTAACCCCACTGTAGTTTTATTTATCATGTCTCTGGATTTTTGTTTGAGAGTTTGAGCCCAATCTTTGCTGTGTACAAACAATACTGCTGGATTTTCTGGTACTTTATTAGAGTACTAGCTGTGACAATATATTGATTGGGATCTATCTATGTCTGCATGCATGCTTCACCCAGTATTTCAGCAGCTGAAGTATCATAATTATAAAGTAGATATTCTGAGATCTATTGAGCTGCAGAATATGGCCTGGCACTGAAATGTTAGGGTTTTGGCAGTAAATAAAAGGCTGATTTCATTATATCTCCATTGAGGTGCTAATGTTTGGATTAAAATTTCAACCTATATATCTCAAATGTTAAGCATGAGCACTAGCAAAGAATGACAACTAAAGATGCTATTAAAAGTGCTGAAAATACCCAAATCAGTATTCCTATGTGCCATTGAAGCTACAGCTATCATCTTAACTTCATCATTTTGAGATGTGTGTGTCCATTAGCAACCAGAAAACGTGTAAGCTTTCCATCATAAAGGAGAGACAGCCAATGTCTGTGAATGCTAGGAGGGAACACATGGAGTAGAATAAATTCCACACTAAAACGAGTTCTGTACTGCTGACTGCTTTACTAACAAAATAAATAAAAAATAGGAACAACTGAGATTATTCTTTGGAAAAGGTCAGATCCATTGCAAGATGAACATGTTCAGACTCTCTGGAATAATATTGTCTGCATACCTTCTGAATAAGTGCCAGTGATAATTCCAATTGTAATGTAAATAGTTGGTACTGCATTTGACACAGGAGTGTGGAAGTGACAGAGAGTATTTGGAATGGCTGTGGGGGGCTGCGGCAGCAGGTCTGTGTTTAAGTGTACAATGTCTCCACTGCCAAAGTCGTGCTGAAATACCCCTTGGGAAGAAGAGTGTTGGTGAACATCAGAACTGTGTATGGCAGTAGCCTAATATATCGTATAGATACAGTGAAACTCTGGGTGCCAGTCAGTTTTCTCTAGGAAGCTTCCTCTGGAGCTCATTGTAAAGAAACAAAAACACTAGCCTTCTAAAAAATAAAGTGATTCTTTATTCATAATAGCTGAGCAGACATAACAAGGTTCATTCATTTTGCCAAGCAGTGGAATTGCTGAAATGGTAAAAGCACTTGTGTGTGTCCAAACAGAGCATTACAAACCTGCAATATCGCATCGTGACTTGAACAGCCGCAACGTGCTGGTGAAGAACGATGGCACCTGTGTCATCAGTGACTTTGGGCTCTCCATGAAGCTGACTGGGAACAGGCTGGTACGACCTGGTGAGGAAGACAATGCAGCTATTAGTGAGGTGAGTACAATGGTTGGATGAATGTTCAGCTGGTACAATTTCTATAATGGGGAATGCAGTATGGGTGAGAAGGGGCTGAAGACTCCCCAAGAAGAAACTGGTTTTATTCTCAAAATACTCATCACAAACCTGCCATTTTGAAAGGTGATAGATTGGCAGACTGAATTTTCTGTGTGAGATACAAGAAGACACAAGGTAATTTTGGTTGCCACATTCTCTGTGATTATGTGGTAGAAGTCCCTTTGGTTTTGTACTGCAAATGCTAACTGAAGACCAAACATTCTTGGGTTTTGTTTTTAATTTTTGGTTTTGGTGTTAATTTTTCTGAAATGGTGACATACCACGTTTTGCATCTGCTGCTTGACATCTGATACAGGCTACTGAAATACAGTGAGGCTGTTTTAAATAAAGGGTGCCTAATAGTTCAGTGCAGTTGTTATCTGTGCTTTTACAGAAAAACTTCGTATATCATTCAAAGAACATGCTACACAGTGCTAATCATTCTCCCTTAGAAATCAGTGCTAAATTGAAAATACCTAGTGCAGGAGAGCTCCATCTAGATCTTTCCATACTGATAAAAGAAACGGGGAAACTGCTGGTTAAAATTCAGGGTTGTAGAATAGTCCTTTGACAAAATACTGTCCTGATACTGTCCATACAAGTACTGATAAGTAAGTGCTCTACTCTACCACATATCCAAGTGAAAATGCCTAGGTATCTTGCAAGACTGTTAATAACCTTTGACTGTGGGAGTTGTAGGGTGGAACCTTCCTGACAGTCCAGGAATAGAGAAAAAGTTTCTTATTCAGTAGGATCCTCTTCCTTATGATACATACCTTGGTGTTTAACAAAACAACTTGGAACAAGAAACACTTCAGCTATATCATATTTCAATTGAGAACATTAATTAAGGGACAAAATAATTTTGTTTTGGTACATACAAAACAGTGACAGTGTAGGGGAAAGGTTTTGTTATGACTAGACTGATAAGAATCTAGAAACTGAGGACATTGATTAGGAAGGAGCTGTGTTTTCCTTAACTGTAGAGAATACCAAGCAGAATAGGGCAGTAAAAAACTTAATTAAATTTGGAAATTTCTTCCTGATGTGAAGCTCTGATGTGATGTTTCCCCAGGTCGGTACAATCCGCTACATGGCCCCAGAAGTGCTTGAAGGAGCAGTGAACTTGAGGGACTGTGAATCTGCCTTGAAACAAGTAGATATGTATGCTCTGGGCCTGATCTACTGGGAGATATTCATGAGATGTACAGACCTCTTCCCAGGTAAGGAAAAGAACTGCAGAAAGCCGTAACAGTAGGAAGTGGCACCAGCACCCAAAGCTGCTCCTGAGCCCGAGCATGTGAAAGTGGAGAAGGGAAGCCGTTCCCTCAGCTGCTTCTGCCATTGAGTCGGTGCCATCTAGTGTTGGAGGTGGTGCTTGTCAGGACATTTGGGGGCGAGGTGTGGCTGCTGCCCGAAGGCTCGGCAGGACCTGTTCAGGCGGTTCGCAGGCCTCGTGCTAGGTGCCTTTTGAGCATTATTATTGTTGTTAGTATTACTGTCCAGAGTTTAAAAACACTGAGAGTTAGGCTGATGGCAAAGGCAGTGTTTCCAGTTCTGAGAACTGATAGACGTGCTTGAAGTGTCTTTCAGACTTGTCACCATGAAAACATGCTATGACTTCATGTAGCCTTTAGTCAGTTGTACTTTTGTTTATGATAGGACATTGAAAATTTAGGGAAATCCTCCCTATCTGTAACATAAACAAAAAGGAAGTGGACTTAAAATTTATGCATGAGATTGGTGCCACATGCACCATCTTCTGCCCAAGCTCCAGCATGTAGAATGGATCTGAAATGCAGCATACTCTCTGCAGTCAAACAGCTGTTCTTGGTGTGCAGAGGCTTGTAATCCTGCTGGGCTTCCTCCCAAACGAAGTGCATGAACATCATCAGTCAGTGGCATTTCACAGAAAGTTGGTGTCATCTTCAGGCCCCAAAGACATTCCAAACGTGCCACTGAACCAGCACAGTCTCAAGATGCTATCCTTTGAGAGGTTGCTGAACAGCACTTAATTCATTTGCAGTTAATTCAGCTTTTTTGGACTTTAGACTTTGGGGAAAGTGGGGAACATCTCGTTAGACAGCAACTTTGATAATGCCTTTCATCAACTGAAAGCCTTTGCTCTGCCTTTTAATCTGTGATTGATTTTTTTTCCTTTCTTTCTTTTGCTAACAGGGGAATCTGTGCCAGAGTACCAGATGGCTTTCCAGACTGAAGTCGGAAACCATCCCACTTTTGAAGATATGCAAGTCTTGGTGTCTAGAGAGAAGCAAAGACCAAAATTCCCTGAAGCATGGAAGGAGAACAGCCTGGTGAGGGAGAATATTTTCAAAGAAATAGTGATTTAACCAGCTTTAGGGTGTACTCATTTCTTAAAAGCAATTCTTTAGGTTTTGGGTTTTTTTCCTCTTTATTAGTATTTAAGGATTGAGAGCTGTTTCTTCATGGACTTCTCAAATACTGAATTCAGTTTTTAAAAGTTATTGACATGAAAGACAGATTTCTTTCAAGGAAAAATACTATTATTGTTGTTGTTGCATGCTGCAGTGTGATTACCAAAGATAACCTGTTACATTAATTTCAGACATTGTCTGTAGCATTGTGCATGAAGTGCCCATGTGTTCTCTGTGTGCTGAATGAGAAACAAAAAGCCATTTTTTGTCTTCTGACGTCTTATAAACTAATAAAACTGAACTAGGATACCAACTAAAATAGCTGACAAAAACATCAGTATACTCTTCCAAAACTAAAATTGGTAAACATTGTATTAAACTTTTTTGAACTTGTATAGACCTCAAGATTTGCAGAGACTAAAGCTTCTAGAAATAATTTCATTTTAACTACATAAAAGATTTTATAAGGCTTCATTTGATCTGCAATTTTTTTTCAAGACTATAAACATTATAACATTGCTTGTTGTTTTGAGTGAGTGTAGCTATGGCTTAGAACCTTGCTGCTGTGGGCCAACAAGTTAGAGCAAGTCAGCTGAACTCTGGTGAGAGTCTGTGCTTGCTTTCATGTGCAGCAAAGTTCAGGCAATGTGAATCCCCTTGGCTTAGAGGGGGCTGTTTGTCTTGTATTACAAGCAAAGTGCAGTGCAAACAGTGACTGGGTTCCACCTGATACAAGGCAACACAGCTGAATTGCAAGTGTGAAAATGCCGCGTTTGGCTGTTATTTAGAAAAATGCTTCTTGTTATTCCCATATTGATGTGATGCCCTTCAATCTTCAGAGGCTTTGGTGGTTGATAAGTTTGTAGCTGCTGTGCAGACCAGGAGGAGCCCAAGGCCTCACCTGGTGTGAATAGGTAGGAGCCTGCTTTCAGAGGAGCATAGACTGCAGAGGTGCACTGCAGTAAAACATGTTGTAACCCAGCTGAGAGCTTCCAAGAGAGGTGCTTTTATTGCACACTTTGGCCACCCAGTCTCAGGGGCAAAGGGGGAAGAGGAAAAAAGAGAAATCAGTGCCCAAACTATATAGGAAATCAAACCACAGCTGTTTTAACTATAGCCAGGTTGGCAAATGTGGCGTTGGAAGAACCAAGCTTGACAGCTGTTTCTGAAGACAGTTAATACTGAAACAGTTCAAGATTTGTTTTGTTTTGCAGACTGCCATTTTAAATGTTAATTATGTTCTAGCAAGCTGATAGGCTCCAGCGTTATTAGATGATCCCCATATTTAAAATGCCTAGCACATTCTTTGGGGTGTTACTAATTTTTTTTTTTGTATAATCAAAATGGTGATAACTCCAGCTCTAAGAATTGATCTACACCATTGCTTTAAGAGAAAAGAATAATAATCACAGGGGTCAAACAACTTCTTCCACCCTATGCCAGTTTAGGATAATATCTGAATGAGCACTCTAGAGCAGATAGTGTAGAAAATTAAGCTCCAGATAACCTCACTCTGGACCCGCATCCTAACCTCCTGTATCTAATACATGGCATAAAAGACTTTATTCCATTATTTAAAGCTGTGCTGTTATGTTGGGTTGTAATACCTTCATGCAAATTCATCTTTGAAACAAATGCATTTGTCCTTTTCATTTGAGAAATACAAATAAAAAATAATGCTTTCTTTTTTAATCCCATAATTAAGATACTCAAAAGATTTGGAATCCTCATTTGTGATTACCTATGCAGTCTTAGTGTGCTTCTGGAAGCATCTGTGTTGTTACAGACCTCGATTAGCAGTATTGTTTTTCATAGTATAAAGTAAGAACCTGAGCAGAGGATGTACATAAAATAATTCAAAGGCTTTAAGCTGTGTTGAGATGTTACTATATTCTTGTCTCACGTGCCAGAGTGGGGCCACACTTGGCTTCAGAGGTCAGCACTGAAGGATATGAGCAGAATAATAGAATAATGCAAATTTCTGGTGGTCCCTTCTGTCTTTTTGATGAGTGCTGGTACTTGTAAATAGTTCATTTTAGCATAGTTGTCTTTCAACCTGAAATTAATAGCAAACACATAATTGTGGTAAGTGTGATGCTGAAGAACTCCAGTGTTGATAACTGTCTGTACAGTCACTGCTGTGTCCTTTAGTGATCCTTAACACATCAAAAGGATCTGCTGCAGGACAGACAGTATTCAATTAAACACTGGTTGGAAAGTCTTGCAAAGAGAAAAGGCAGGAGATTAGGATATCCACTGGTTTAGTCTGAATGGTGACAAAATCAAGTCCTAAAAGCTGAATGAAGGCATTTTATTGTGGGAGAGAAAATGGATCCAGTACCCTGACTCATGTGCCTGAGCCAAGAGGAGGGTATTGGCTTACCCCTGTGTGATCTGCTGTGGGAAGGGAGATGGAAGGTTTGCTTGGGGGGGAGCTCGTCCCCACCTGTGCAGCCAGAGCTGCATCACCAAGCAGCAGGGCTTGCCAGATGCAAGCCATGCCAGGAGCTCGCTCCGTGGGCGAGGAGCTCTTGGCTCCTACTGAGAGCTGGTCCTGGCTTCCACTGCCAGCAGGGCACAAGGCAGTTCTGGCACACAGCCAGCCAGCAGGACTCACTGAATGCCTTAGTGCCCAGCTGGGACTCTGCACTCAGTGTCCTCAGTGCTGGGGAAGTTAAAGCTGGGCTGTGGATGGGAGCTGTGCTGGCAGACCAGATCCTCTCCATGGCCATGGGCTGGCAGCAGGGGCCCAGAAATGTCTGCCTGGCTTTTGTCCTCCAGATAGAGGGCAAACAGGAGTGTTCAGTGCTCATCATCTCAGTTGTTTCCTCTCCAGTTCCCTGAGCATATGGCAGCACGTTTTGGAGGTCTTGAGCTCTAATCCTGACTGTACAGCTCATCCCACAGTGTGATGCCAGGAACACGTGTGTGTTTCTGTTTCTCCACCTGTAAAACAAGTGCAACAAAAATCCCCTCCCACGGTGCAGACAAATTCATTGATACTTACGAGACATTTGGATGTCACTGTGGTAAACAGGTCAAGGATGATGAAGTGAGCGCAGCTGTTATTTACATACAGTGCAGGGGAGCAAAGCAGTGACCATTAGCAGAACTGTGAGAATAACCATGGCATCATTTCCAGAATATCAGCAATCCTTAGTACACAGCTCTCATAAGGCAAGGAGAGTGCACAGAGCATGCATCCATCAGAGGGCTGGCTGAAGGTTGTGTGGACATTGGTGAATGTAGCTTTTGCTAAGTGTCTTCCCAGTTGAAGTGTGTATGTGAGGTGTGTTAATATTAAATTGCACATTGCTAGTATTAGGTTAAATTAGCTTTGAATAAAATTGTGTATCTTCTGTTTCTGTCTTTCACCAGCTTGTGACTGTTTTCAGGCATGCAGAATGCTGCCATAAAACAGTAAAATAGAAGCACAGTATAAAGGTAAAATAACTTAAAGGGGTTTTGTCTCCTGGCAGGCTGTGAGGTCACTTAAAGAAACTATTGAAGACTGTTGGGATCAAGATGCAGAAGCTCGACTAACAGCACAGTGTGCTGAGGAGAGAATGGCAGAGCTCATGATGATTTGGGAGAGAAATAAATCAGTTAGTCCAACAGTCAATCCTATGTCAACTGCCATGCAAAATGAGAGGTAAGAGGAGAGCACATTTGGGTTTAGACAGCAGGGAATGCCCAATGCAGCGCTTGGCTCACTCCAGGGCAGAAGCTACAGCTTGCTGCCCCCATTCAGTGATGTGTGTTACATGACCTGGTCTGCATATGTGTGTGTCCCCAGAATTCAGGCACCTTTTATGTATACAACTGTATTTCTCACAGAGGGGCCTTTTAAATTGAGCTTAGGCAAACTGTCCCAGCAGGCTTGCCTGGATGGGAAGTGACAAAGTGAATTGTCTTTAAGTACACGTGCTAAATGATGCATCAAAATTCTGTTTAAAGTGTTCTGCTTTAAAAACTGTGAATTTGCAGTCAGTGTGAGTTCAGGAAATTACCAAGTCTCAAACCTGTAGTTTTTCAGTTAACAAAGTGCAGGGCCATTGTGTAAGTTGTTCTTCTGACCTCAGCAAGAGAAGTACTGCATGTTGTCTGCTTATATATGATCCAGAGGGAATGACAATTTGCAGAGCTGACTTCAGGGCTTAATAGTGTACTCTAGAAATCCAGATTTGAGAGAAGAATAATGTTGTTGTATATGACACTGTTCATTGTCATGAAAAAAATGTTATGTTCAAATCATAAAATACTTAAATTGTCAAAATAGTAGCATTTTCATGGGTCAGACCTTGTGACATTTCCCCAGAATCACTTTCTTGATTTAATCTGTTGGGTTTTTGTTGACCTTCTTCAGCATCGCTTCTCTTCATCTAGAGCAGAACCTTAGCAGTTGTTTGCCAACTGGACAAACAGCATATTGGACAAATAGAACATTACTGTTCTCCTAGGAAATAACATCTATAATGAAATTTTGCCCTAGTAAAACCAATTTTCTTTTCAAGGAAGTTGCTGAAATACCTCAGTTTGTACAGTGTCTATCCTTAGTTTATGCGTGAAAATAAACAGAAAGACTGTTAAATGAGAGGCATTATAGTATGAGGTGATTTTTACATATATACTCTTAATACCTCTTTTTTTTTCTTAAAGGAATCTGTCGCATCACAGACGTGTATCAAAGATAAGGCCATATCCAGATTATTCTTCCTCTTCCTACATTGAAGATTCAATCCACCACACTGACAGCATAGTAAAGAACATTTCTTCTGAACATTCAATGTCCACTACACCATTGACTTCAGGGGAAAAGAATAGAAATTCCATTAACTACGAGCGGCAGCAAGCACAAGCTCGCATCCCCAGTCCCGAGACAAGTGTCACCACTTTGTCCACCACCAATACAGCTGGCCTCACTCCCAGCACCGGCATGACCACCATCTCCGAAATGCCTTACTCGGATGAAACAAACTTACACACTGCAAATGTCATGCAGCCGGGTGGGCCCACCCCTGTTTGTCTGCAGCTAACAGAGGAGGACTTGGAGACAAATAAATTGGATCCAAAAGAAGTGGATAAGAACCTGAAAGAAAGCTCTGATGAGAATCTGATGGAACATTCACTTAAGCAGTTTAGTGGGCCAGATCCACTGAGCAGCACTAGTTCCAGCTTGCTTTACCCACTGATAAAACTTGCAGTAGAGGTGACAGGGCAGCAGGACTTCACACAAGCTACCAACGGTCAGGCGTGTTTGATCCCGGATGTGCCAGCTGCTCAGGTCTATCCTCTACCCAAGCAGCAGAACCTGCCGAAGAGGCCCACTAGCCTCCCTCTAAACACCAAAAATTCAACCAAGGAGCCACGGTTAAAATTCGGTGGCAAGCACAAATCAAACTTGAAGCAAGTGGAAACGGGCGTAGCCAAGATGAACACTATCAATGCTGCAGAGCCTCACGTGGTGACGGTGACCATGAACGGAGTGGCCGGCAGGAGCCACGGCATGAACTCTCATGCTGGCACAGCCCAGTACGCCAACGGCACGGTGCCCTCTGGCCAGAGCAGCAGCTCGGTGGCGCAGAGGGCCCAGGAAATGCTTCAGAACCAGTTCAGTGGTGAGGACAGTCGGCTGAATATCAACTCCAGTCCCGACGAGCACGAGCCCTTGCTGAGGCGGGAGCAGCAGGTCGGCCACGACGAAGGTGTCCTGGACCGCCTGGTGGACAGGAGGGAGCGGCCGCTGGACAACGGGCGAACGAACGCCAACAACAACAACAGTAATCCGTGTCCAGACACTGCTGCAGCCAGCATCCAGAGTGTAGTGAGAAATCCTGGGCAGACCCAGAGCAGACGAGCACAGAGGCCTAATTCGCTGGATCTGTCAGCCACAAGTAGTTTGGATAGCAGTAGTATGCAGTGTAAGTGCCTGCAGGGCTGAACGGTTTCCCTGACACCTCTCTACCTAATAACTACATATATCTGCTCAGATAGAAATTTTTTCTGTCTCCCATTTCTCCTCAAAGCATACTCATTAAATCTCATATAAATGTAATTTCCCTCAGCGCAACTTCTGTCTTTTTGATACAGTCCTGTCTCCATCATTTCCAGTATATTAGATCACTATCATCCTTCTACATACACAGAATAAATCTGTCTCTTTCTAACCCATCCACTCTGTCTCTAGGTTAACTTTCAGTATTCCTTGCAAGGCTTCTACCTTTGGTAGCTGCAAAGCATATTGGAAAAGTGTCCTTTTTTTCTGCAGGGGCACTTTAAACCTTTTTTTCCTTACTTTTCCTCATTCTTTCAAGTGTAGCTGTCTCTAAGATGCATTGATTAAAATAATTTATTATAGTAACTACTTATGCTTCATGATTTTAAAGCAACTGATTTTACTGCATTAGCCCAGCCTAAATGGACAGTCAGGCATTTTCTATTTTGCTGTCCTAGCTCCAACAATTAGAGCAATTCTTCATCAGTTTGCCATGTACATAAATATTAATCCATGTAATTAGAGAAGGAATTGATTGTAATAGTTTATTTCAGAAAAACTTCCTTGAGAGTTTTATGGCCAGAAGTCTAAGAGGTTACAATGGGGTTCTCCTTTTTACAGTAAGAATGTAATGATGTAGTTATAGTTAAATTAGGTACATCCTCTGTATTTGAGCCTGTTTGAGCTATTGGAAAGACCTCCTGGTGTGCATTTTAAAGAAAATATATTTCCAGAAGTCACTGTAGTCTTGAAAGGTGCTTGCAAATCTCGTGAGTGTGTTCAGGAAGATGCTGTGATACTAGTGGAGTAAACTGGATGCCAGGCATATTTGGAAATAAAAGGTTTAAAACCAAACAAGAACATATCTTTCAAGAGATGTAATTGAATATTCAGCAATGGAATGTTTAAGCCTTCCTTTTAAGTAGGAGACCTTCATTTTTTTCTTAACATGTTGATGTGAGTTGAAATCTTACCAAGATAAAGAAAAAATAGTATTGCAGTGACTTTCTTTAATTGAAGTTTAAGTTACAAGAAGGGATTGTGTAAAGTTTTTTTAACAATCAGATTTTGACTGCTGAAGTTTTATCACTGTTAAAGTTGGTTCTGCCAGTTTTACAACCCAGCATTCCAATTCCTGACTTAATGTCTTAACAGAGAATGAACTATTTTGTTTTCAGGTGAAATGCTTTGCCAGGTGGAGTAGGATTAGGGGACCTAACATTGCACTATTTAAGTGTTAGCCTTTGCTGTCCTGTAGTAGCCATGTTCTTTTGTACCTCCCATTACAGGTGACATAAGATACTATGATTGCAAAAGCCCCTCAAATGTCAAATGCTGATTCTCCTGTTTGATGCCCATGTGCACTCCAGGTAACACAAATTACTTCAGTGAAGTAATTTCTGACAGAGAACAGAATCTAAGCCCTTGTTTTAGTGGCAGCTGTTGTAGTTGATACACCTGTCATGCCTCTGCCCCACAGTTGCTTCTGTGTTTGTAGATTTTGTTCTTTTGTTTCTGTTTCACATAAGTAACAACCCTGGACTCCAGTCTAATCTCACCTTCCTCATAATGCTATTTTCTGTTCTGTTTTCTTGTTTTGGTTTGGTTTTTTCCCTTCAGTAGGTGACTCCTCACAGGATGGCAAATCAGGCTCAGGAGAGAAGATCAAGAAACGTGTGAAAACGCCGTACTCGCTCAAGCGGTGGCGTCCGTCCACGTGGGTCATCTCCACAGAGCCGCTGCACTGCGAGGTCAACAACAACGGCGGCGAGCAGGCAGTGCCCCCCAAATCCAGCACTGCTGTGTACCTTGCAGAGGGGGGCACTGCCACCACCATGGTCTCCAAGGACGCAGGGGTGAACTGCCTGTAAAGCGCTTCAAAAGCCCACCTTTGTTTTGCGTTATTTGAAACAAACGTGCAGAAGACATTTTAAAAAACTGCTTTCTCCTCCTGTCAGCAACCCCTACCAAGGACTCGCTTTAAATAGATTTCAGCTATGCAGAAAATTTTTAGCTTATGCTTCCATATTTTTTGTTTTGTTTTATTTTTTGACCGTTTTTGCACTTTTATTTAGTATCGCTAAAGTTAAGTCTGTCTGTTTTGACCACGGAATATATATATGTGTATCAAAGATGTGGTCTCAAAATATTTTTTTAAAAAAAAGTAACAAAAAAAAAGTATTGCTGATAATCAGTTTGGACCAGTTTCTTAAGGTCACTAAGAACATAAGCAGACTATAAGACAGGTTTGACTGCAGTGGTGTCTTGTAACCATGTTTTGATTTCTGTGCACAAGCTAGTCTGTATATTTCTATGTTACAAAGTGTATTCTCTTTTGAACCCCTTATTTTCCTTGTGTCATGTTGAAATGTGCAATAGTCTATAGTTCATAGTAGGCTTTACTGAAAAGTGTGTTTCTAAAACTGCCACATGTTCCCATTTTTGTATTTGTTAATTTTTCCTTGACAGTTGAGCAGTCAGCCGGTCATGACAGTGAACTTTGCACATCGTAGCCAGCTTGAAGCAGCTGCCATTATCACATTGTGCTCAGAGGTGACAATGCATGAATTTTCCCCAACTTGAAAGGGCTTTAAAAAAGGAACAAACAAAAAAAAAAAACACAATCTGAGCTCTGTACCTTTCTTTTGATCCTCCCTAATCAAAATGTGTTTCCTTTATAGTAGTAGATGCCAGCCTGTGAAGCTAAGTAACAAAATGTTGAACAAATGTAAGGAGACAGTGTCAGCCATTTTTCCATTTTATTTTGTGTGCAGTTTCACCCCCTGTATTTATGTAAAACCTTATTTAGATCACTTATGATGTACATTGAAAAATACATTTTATTCAGAAATATTAGTAATTGTCATACTTTAAAAGCTTGAGTGAAGATAGGTTGTGAACATATTTTGTTTACACAGAGAAAAAAAGCATCGATCTTACTTGGCACAAAACAGTTTGGTGATGAGTCACAAGTCTTTCCTGATGTACCTCCTTACAGACAGGATGGGGTAAAAATGAGCCTGATTCCTTATGCAGGTAGGTGCATCCTAATTGATGTTGTTGCCAAGTTGAGTTGAAACTCGTCCACCCTTCAGAGTTCTTAGAGGCCCTCATTCATCTTGTTAAGGTTTACTGCATGCTTTTTAAAATCATGGGTGTTTGTGGGGGAGGGTTGGGGATTTTTTTTCCCCTCTGCTTAGTCCCTTCTTTCAGTTGGTATGCACATTGATTTTAGCTGTCAGTGAATGTGAATGTAATATGTATTGAGAGAAATTGTTTATTCACTATCTCAAGTAAACCCTTCCTTTTTTTGGAATGATTGGTTTTACTGTCTACTGAAAGAAAATAATTTTCTTATTAGTTAGAACCTCCTTCCACCTAAGAAACAGCCTTCCACCTGAGAATTCTTTCCAATTGAAAACCCTTCAGTAAAAACTATCTGGAAATAAAAAGATGTATCACATCAGTCTTTGGTAACAAGCAAAGATTTATCACTTCATCTGAAAACTGGTGATGTTCAAAGAAAGAAAATCAATTCAGTCAGCCTGCCAGACTCCTGTGGCAGGATACTGGCAGCAAACAATTGCCTCCCCCAGCCTGTCTCCTTTCAGCTGACTGAAGCAGATGCTCTCTGCTTTTAAGCTCATTTGTTTCCTTGCCATTTTACCATTTTTTCCCCCTGAGGTAAACTTTGCCAACCGTGTTCTTCTCTATCTGCTGATACAGCCAATCTAATACATGCCTTGCTTACATCTGATTGATTCTTGCTGTTGCCCAAAATTCCTTGCTTGTTCTTGATTGCTATGATTTTCTCTTGTAACATTTCTTAACATTTCTTAGATTCTCCTAGATATCTCCAAGAGATAGCACTATAAATGCAGACTTTGAGTAAGTGTAGTTGTAGAAATACAAGCCACAAGGCACATTTTGAGCTCCCTATGTTCCTTAAGCACCAGTTCAAATAGTACCTCTCGTCTCTGAGGCATAATTATGCTTTCCCCCTGTATAATGCACTTAGATCACCCCTTTTTAAAAACACAGCCTTCTTCTGGTTTGACTTTTAATTCACTCTCTGGCTTCCCATCTGCTGCAGTCTCACATCCCAGATGTTGAAAACCTGCCAGTTGCCCAGCTGGGTTTCAAGACCTGAATCAGAATTTCTGGCATTCTATTCATATTGCTCACTGGGTTCTCTTCTCCTTGGCCTCCTGTGAGTCTCCGTTTGGGGTGCATAGTGGTGTTTTTTGGGGAGCACTGATCGTGATCTTGAGGACTCTTCACTCCTATCCCAATGACTTTTCTTTGCCTTGCATGTATCATCCATCAGCATTTCAGAATGTGGGCTGGAAACAATATTTAGGACTCTTACTAAATCAGACTATTCTGGGGAGAGAAAAATTGCTTCTCTGACTGCTGCTTCCTTCTGCTGAGACAGAATTTCACCAGTCTTTGAGCCTTTCTTTGCAGGCCATGCCTTTGTAAGAAATCCAACTGTTTTGTGATCAGTGCAATCAAAATAACTTTAATACCAGATGAAGATGTTGTTCTGCAGATTTCCTTCAACATTCTTAAACAATACTTTTTTTCTTTCCTTTGTCTATTTCTGTTACTTGCTGGAGGGTGTTTGGAATAAATTATAATTAGTAGCAAGATTGGCTGTGCAATCTACCATGGATAAATATAATTTGTAAAATGATAGAAAAATGTACTTTATCAGGAAATACAGATTTATCAGGAAATGTAGATTAAACAGATAAAATCTATTCTTTTTTGAAAGGTTAGTCCAAGCAAACTCTAAAGTAGGTCCCAAAATACTGTAATTCTGCACAGCCAGATTAAATCAGGTTAGAAGTTTGGTTTTAATGTTTAATTTAGTAATGCCATTTTTTTTCCTTACACCACATAATCCAGTGTCCATAGAATACTATCTCTGTAAGTTAAATGAAATTGAATTTTCATGCTGCAGGGAATCGTCCTTAACCAAACAAAATACATGTAAGAGAAAGAATTCTACAAATCAAACACGGGGATGGTTGTTATTGTACAATAAACAAGGAAACCAAATGTGATTCATTTCCTTGTGAGTTACGATTTTGCTTATTTGATTTTCAAAAAAAGGAAAATTATCAAAGTTGATCATTTTCCATCAGTTTCTCATGTATATTGCAGACAAGATAAATACAGCAAAATTAAAATAGAATGGTAGTGTAAATACCTATTAATTGTGCCACTGTCAAATAGGCAGTAGTAGAATATTTGTTATGTAATTTATAATGGAGAATTCAAGTAAAATGGGAGAGCAAACAGTTTTGGTGTTTGTCTGTATAAGACAAAATCCAGCATCTTGCTGGGTATAGAAAATGGTTTACTAGCAGAAGGCAGGAGAGTTGTTTAGGTTAATGCATTGTCTCTTGTTCTGTTTCCTGTAACAGAGATACCAACGTAACATGGTTTTTAGACTGTGAATTCTAGCCCTTTGAACAGACATGCCTGTTGGTATTGGTATTGGTCAGATTGTAATTGGTATTTACAGGTCAGATTATCTGCACCACTTCCCTGAATTTGCTGATAGTGCTTTACAGCTTGATATACTAGCCAGTTAGTGTTACCAAGGCCTTTCTTGAAACTCCAAGATGCACTTACACTGCACAGCTCAAGTAAAGGTATTCCCAATTTAAAAGAAAACCATCTAATGGTATCATAATTAGAATATTTTCAGAAACAACATTTCCATTCTTGGTTTGCTTTCTTGGTGCCACTTGTTTGTCTCTAGTTTTTCATAGAGAAAATCACCTGATTTTCAAAGGCAACACATTTTGATTTTTTTTTCAGTGCACTGGGCACAAAACAATGCAAGATAGATGCTGGCAATTTTCAGGAAACAAGCAACAAAAACCTCCCACCTCATAAATATGTTCAGAAAGTTCACATCCTCCTACCTGTCAGCTTTCTCTAAAAGAAATCTGGTATCCTACCTGCCTCAGAGAGGAGAATAAGGAAGTTCTTTAATTGTATGGAATAAATTATTGCCCCCAAACTTAATAGTAATGAATACTTACTTAAAAAGATATATATATACATTGTATATGCCCTAGTTCCAGTGTTCAGTGCATTTTGCTCTAATGATATTCCATTTTTAAATGTTAAAAAATATCCACTAATACAACATTACTGTGTCGATGTTCAGATTGTTATTTTCTTTACATGAAAAATACAAAAGTTTCCAACCATTCTTCCATTGAAATGTTACTGTGGACATTTCTTGCCTAATTAGGGTGATTTTAAAATTGACATATTTAATCTATAAATTAGAAATTAATTATGCTGTAGCTTTTACTTGTATAAAAATGTTGGCTGGTCCCATTGCTGGAATAGGCTGGGTTTAAGCCATAAAAATAATAATTGCCAAGCACAGTAGCATATAAATGATCTGATATCTAATTGGAAGATTTTTAGCATCTCATCAAAGTAAAATGAAATTGGATTGATCAGTCTTTGAAAGATCATAGACTGGACAACAATATTGTGCATAAATTGGGATTATTTGAACTTTTCTGTCTGCTCTCCCAGTACCCATTTTAACTGATAATAACTATATTAACCTTCTTTTTAAAACATACTTACTAATTTTTGTTCAACCTCAAGCCTTTCTTCAGTGAAAAAACTACACGTATTGCAGTGCAGCCAGATATATATATTTTTATGTAAACTCTGTGTGTATTTAGATGCATATGTATGTTGTGTGTAAGTTCCAGGATTAAATTCTGTGAGTTACAGCATCAGATGGTAGCACTGGTAGAAAGTATAATGTGGGGGGGATTTTTCATATGCCATTTTAAAATTGTCTATAGTGCATCACAGTAAAGCTGGGATCAGACTGTGACACACAGTCCAGTAGTTCAGGATCTCCTGTGACAGACTTGTCACTGATTGTTTGGGTGGAATGGATTTATATGAGAGAGAGAGAGAGAGAAGCCTGGGAATGCACATGACAAGCTTTATCTGAAGCTGAGTAATTTAAGATACCTCTCTCAAAGATCAAAAAATAACCCAAAACACTTAAAACATGATAATTTTTACAAGGCTTTTTTATGTAGGAGCTATAGTTATATGTGTGGTTGCCGTTTAAACATAGTATTTTAGTCCATTAAATCAAATTGCATTTTAGGCTTCTATATTGTCATATGAAACTGTAGCTATAGAAATACATCCTTTTTTGATCTCACCCATCCCCCAAGTAGGTTCAGTTTTGACATGAAAGAGTAACAAATCAGTTTTCTCATTTGGGGATTCTTCGGTACCGAGTAAAATTGGAGGCAGAACTTCCATTTCTGCAAGAACAGATTTGTGCCCCTGCAAATGCAGATGGATGTAATGTTCAGCACCTGTATTCCTGAGGGAATGGGCACCTCCAGGGCTCCTGGCTGAGCCCAGTGCTCTTGGAATCCAGCAGGAGTCTGCCTCTGGCAGTGGACAGAGGGGGCTGGGTTCTGCTGGCTGTGCTGTTACAGGTTTCTGGGGAGGATTAGCCCTGGGAAAGCTGATGTGGAATGTGGGAGTGCGGGGCAGCGCTGGCTCCTGAGCCTTGCTGGGTGTTGCAGTTGGGGATTCAGGCTGTGGAGCTGGGTCAGCACAGGGCAGCTGTGGCTTTGTCAGGATGTGGGACTGCACTGGGGGAGTGGGAGTGGAAGGGTTCAAGATAAATCCTCATTTACACCAAGGCCCTTTAATGTTCAGCTGGGCTCCATGCAGGTCTGTGTTAGCAGTGCATTATTAATACAAGTTACTTCTTACAGCCATTTCTGTTTATTTCACTGTGGTTTAATATACACGTGTGCATAATAAGCAGGAGCTAGTTGGAGTTATGCTAATTCTTAGTGTAATCATCAGCCATTTTTCAAAGCCTATTGCTGATTTCATCAGCAATTGTTTGAATTTGCAAGTCATTCAGTTGGTTAACTTCAATGCATACACCACAGCACAGGAAGGAAGGATTTCTTCCCAGTCCTTACAGGCTTCTGCAGATGTTTCACTGGACTGTGTCCATCATGGCACAGCGTCTCACCTGGTAACGATTTTAAAGCAGAAATAATTAGCCTTTATAACTTTCTAGTTCCAAGGTCTCCCAAACCTCCACTTTTGTAGCCCATTCACTTGTTTTTAAGACAGAAAACATGTGTGAGGTTTATTTCTAGAGCACTTGATTCACTTTCTTTTTTGTGCTTCAGAACTGTATCATGAAGTTTCACACTTCAATCTTGTTTATTCAGAAAATAGTTAATGTTTCTGGTCTTTGTAAGAAGTCACAAGAACAAACAGGCAAGTCCAAGTTATAGCTGACTCATTTGTCACTTTTGAATTTCCTGATTGGTGACTCTTCTCTCTCTTTCACACTGTTGAAACGTATTTAAAACGGTTTGTGTTTATATGTTTCTTGTCTGCTTTTTGTCTCTAGAGGAAAGCGTGCTCTATTCACATTTATATAAGCTGGAATAATGTTTTACAATCGCTGTTGATTATTTTCCCCCCAAATGCAGTATAAGAGGAAAATAAACATGGCAAGAATGAATTTTTAGGGTTTGGTCTTCTGTAAAGGCTGAAGTAAGAAGATGTGAAACTGCCATTTTCCTTATGAAAGACTGTAAAGAGAGCTGTACTTTCTGAGCGAGCTTTTCTGGGGGAAGAGGGGGAGAAATCCTAGAATATGGAGTCTCATCAGAACCCTTTTGTTAACGGGTATTTTTGGTTTTCCTCTCAAACGACTGAGGAAATATCATGTATGAATTTATAAATAATTGCTTTCAGTTATTTCTTTTGTATAAGCTGCGCAATACCCTTGCTATGCTGTATAAGTTGTGTTTCATGGAACAGTGTGAGTATGAAATAAAAAGCTAATTTTTGGTTTTTAATCATCTGTGGATGCCACTATGAAAGCTGACATTGTTAAAGCCACTACAGAGTTTTCTATGAATACTTGTAAGAATTGCTTTGTTATATATAAACCTAAATAAAGAGATTGTATTGATACAGAGACATTGGATAAGAACATTTAAAAGGCTATTCTTTAGGCCTGAGAGAAAAGGCTTGCTGTAAAAATGGTGCATTATTCCATTTATTAAAGATCATATTAATGACAAAAAGCATGGTCTTTTGTTGGTGGTTCATATCGTTATTGGCCATGAGTATTAACATGCTCCAGGAGTGAGATTAAGAGGAAACCCCCCTTGCATATGTGTGGGTTGGTTGAACTGAAAAAGATGGATTGGGTTATAGTAGACGGATGCTGCAAATTTCCACTGACTGATGCTTTTCCTCTATACACAGATTGGTGGCCTCCATTCTGCAGCTTGGATGTTGATTTATCTCTCCTCCTCAATTACTGTTAATTTATTTTTCTCTATCCACAGTGATTCTTTTTGCAAGCAAATAAGTGATGCAAGTCTCTGGCCAAAGAACTAACTCAAAAAATCAAAGAAAGAAGGGATTTAAAAATCAAAGAAAGAGGAGCTTCATTTCTTGCTGTCATAAATAAGGAGGAAACAACAAACTGAGGCAAGTAGTGTATGGCTGAGTATCTGCCTGTATGGCAAATCATCTCAGCCCACAGTGAAGCTAGAAACCTTTGGCTACAGGAAAGGACCATGGCAGGAATTGCTTTCCCTGGGAGCAGGAAGCACACTGGGAGTGGAGGCCAGCATGACAAAAGTAGCTGTGTCCCCAAAAGCAATTCTCACTTTTGGCTTGGCTGACAGTAAAAGCAGCCAAGTCCTGCCCTACCCCAGCAGGTGTGGCTGAGCCTTATCCTCAGGGCATCTGAGAAGCCTGACTCAGCCCTGCAGGAACAGAGTGTGAATGGTGAATTTTACTGATCGATTTTTCTTTGGGTGCATGAGCTACTTGGACTTAAGAAAGTCTCCTCATGCTTTCCCTGTGTGACCTCATACACACCTCTGCCAGCTCTCCCCTGCAGAAATAACCACTTTTACTTGCTTTTGGTTTGCTAACGGGAATTGAAAATAGAACAACAATAATTATATTCCCCTTTGTTCCAGAGCAGTGATGCAGCTGCGGAACGTACTTTGTGGAACACAGCCATGTCAGTCTTCCATTTGTTTCCATTCAGGGCTTTTTCCCTATTTACTTCTTGCTAATTCTGATGTTATGGAAATTCTCCACGTGCAGGAGATTATACACATCTGCTCACTGCCATGACCCAAACCACATTCTATTGGATAAGAAGGTTCATTTTCCATAGGCAGGAAAACTCAACTATACCAAAATATTTCTATAAATCCAGCCTTTCATGTTAACCTGAAACATTGTCATTCTCCATCCAGGGAAGAGTTGAAATGTTTTGATTCCTGGAATTTAAACAGCACACTTGGATATTCTCCTTTATGTCAGGGGATCTTCTTTCAGCTCTCAGTACCACAGGTACCACAGGTCTGTGAGAAATCCACAAATGGTGATCTAAGCTGAAGTCATGCTTTGGGGATCATTGATGCCTCTTTTACAAAGACAACAAATGAGGCTGCCTGAGGACAGCTGGTCTGTGGGAGGTGATTAAGGAAAGCAAGTCTGTATTTACTATACAGTGTCTGAGCAAATGCATTTCCAGACAGGGCTCACATGAGCACTGGAAAAATGTTAAGGATGCACATATTGAGAAATGTTGGAAACAACTGGTCCAGGTGCATTTCAATTCACAGGACAGGAGCTTTCCAGCACCCTCTATCACAGTCCATCAAATCCTTTTGAGAACAAGGACATAGAGTGAGTAGAGAGCAGGCAGGTGCCTTGGGCAGATAAAGCCCAAAGCCAGTGGGCAGCACCTCAAGTACACGAGGTGGATTTGAGGAAGGAAAAAGCATGAAGGGAAGCTGGGGAGACTTGTTTCAGGCATCAGCAACACTGTAGAACTCAGCATTTGTCTTTGGCCCAATTTCTTTGTTGTTGCTGCCAAGTGCTAGCAGGAAAGGATAGTGTAGGGCGTTGTGATAAAAAGGGTACAGAGGTTGTACAGCTCGTTTTACCCATGCCACTGAGTGTGACAGGCTGCAAGCAGCTCCTAGGAAAGGTACAGGCCTGTTTGCTTTCCCCTGTCACCTATTGCAGCCTTTGTTTGGGAGAAATTCGTGCCACAAGCTATCAGATTTCCTAATCAGAATGACTAGAAATACAGCTTTCTTAAGCTACTTTTGTGCACAGGGGAGTGAGATTGGCTTGTGCTCTGTTCCTGGTTTTGTTCCTGACAGTCTGCGTGCTTTGCAGTGACTGGTATTTTGCCAGTCTGCTGTAATACTGAAATTACACCTGTTTTCTCCATCTCCTTCCCTTTCATTGCCTTTGTCCCATTTCCTCTTTCCTCTTATTGGAAAGGTAATAATTGGTCCTTGCAGATATATTGTAAAGAGTAACTTCTAGCACCTTCAGGTCTCTGGATTGGTTAAAAAAATGAGATCTGGCACAACTCACTGTAGCAGGGTATAGGTGTGACTAGCCCAGGAGGTAGGCATTGCTGATGCACACATCACCTGTGCTGGTGCAACCAACATGTGTATGGATGACCAGGGAATTTCCTGCAGGACTGATCTCTGCTGAGGTGGAAACACTTTATTGAGAACCTGTTTGGTTTTTTTTTTTGCCATTCCAAGGATTTTCTTGCAGGACCAATAACAATTCTGAATCAGGCTTCAGAGAAGTGGATGACTTAAAATCACTATTAAGCAGGCTAACTTTATTTATTGTTTGTTTCTGGAAAACCAGAATGCAACTAAATAATGTGTTTGAGCTTCGCCCTGTGATCATGAGGGATAGAAATGTGCTTTTAAGGCACAGACAAGCAGAAATTCCCATCCATTTATTTAAGCTGTGAACTGAGACTGACATGAGAAGTATTTGCAGCCAGGCAGATGCAAGCAGCAGTGTCAAGAAGACCTGATCTGGGCACTGTGTTAACCCCAGCTCAACAGCCAGCCACAGGAAGGGCTCACAAGGTTCTCCTGTGGCAAACCAACAGCCTCAGGAGTCCTTCCCCTGGTCTGGGGTGAGGTGCAGGAGGCAGGCAGAGGAACTGCACTCTGCTGGGGAAGGGGGGAGGGAAGCAGGAGGAAGGGCAGAGTTGTTTCAGGATGAGCCCTGGTGGGATGCCAGCTGGAAGAGCCGTGGCTCCCTGCTGGTGAGTGGCACAGCTGAGAGCAGCTCTTGCAGGCTGAGCTCTCGCTCAGTGTGCAGCCTGAGGCAGGTGCCCCTCCTTGGGGGAGCTGGGACAGCCCAGCCCAGCTCGGGTGGGCCTCAAGGAGAAGGGACACCCTGCAGGCTGGCCATGATGGAGCTCCAGCTCAGCCATGCCAGCCACAGCTGCTGGAGATGTCCGCCTGCTCCTGCTGAGCAGAATCAGCCTGACACCTTGTCTGAGCACTTGGCTGTGAACAGCAGCAGAGCTGGGGCTTTGCCCACCTGTGCTTTCTTCCTCTCCAAGATGACATCCTCTCTCTCAGCGGTGGCTCTCTGGCTCTCCCGGAGGCACTCAGGCTGAATGGGAGAGGCAGTGCGTGAGGACAGGATGGTACCACAGAGACAAATTGATGTCTGCTTCAGATGTGACCAAACAAGCTAAAAGCTCCCCTGCCGCCCATGGCTGAGTGCAAGGGAGGATTCAGAACTCTGCTTGATCCATTCTTTCCCAGTAAGTGTTTTCCCAAATTGGAGAATCACATGCTCATGCTTCATCACACGCTCTGCTCGAGTTAATTAGTTTAACTACAGAGCTAGTATATGTCTGTGGAGAGAGAAGAAAAATAATTTTGTCACTGCCTCTCAGTGCTTGAATAAACCATGCCAACATGCTTTCCACCAGCTCTTTACCTTTTCTAAATGTTACATGAACAAGTACAAGCAAAAGATTTTAGGCCTGAATCAGAAAGAGTGAACTCTCTTTTCTGCTCTCTTAAGTGTCTGTAGTTACATGCCTATTCATCACTTACACAGGATGTTTATCATCCTACAACATGGTCATAAAACCTACAGTATAGAAATATTGCCACTTACCAAATTAATTTATAGTATCAACATTTGAAACAAATACTTTATAATGTGTAATTCCATTGTCCTTACAGTACAGAAATTGTGCTGGTGCCTTGCCGGAGCAATCAGTGTTTAATGTTTGTAAATGAAGAATTTCTTCTGTCATTTCCACATGTTCTTCTAACATGAGATTAGAAATGCAGAAATGCATTACATGTCTAAACACAACACAAATACAGACAAATCTAGTATATTTTCAAGCTCTGTAAATATGAGCTAAAAATGCTAAGTTTTTGAAAGATAAAAAAAAAATCCTTACTTCCTAAAAGGTAGGAAAGTTTTATTATTGAATTGGAGGAATCATGTGCAAATTATCCTTCAGCATCTTGTAGGGTACCTGGGGGAGATTAGATTAGACTATCTCTTTTTTAAGTGGACTAGGCTACTTCTCTCAGTGTTACTGAGGAAAAAGATTCTGGAATGTGGTGGACAACATTCTTTTCCTGCTGCTCATTCTCTTCCCTCATCCCCATCCAAGAACAGTTTCAGGTCCTATCACTGAAGAAAGTGAGACTCCATTTACTCATCAGCAGCTGGACACTCACCACAGGGTTATTGCTTAGTGTTGCTGCTGACTTTCAACAGATGCTCAGAAAACAGATCTGTATGCATGGAGAAACATGTCACATGTAGGTGAGCTTGGCACTGGCTTCTAAAGAAATTAACCTCGTGCTTCTCCCAGGTAATTATGTGTGCCAGGAATGTGCAGTGGGAGCATCTCCCAAGCCTGCATGTAAATGTTGCATTGAGAACTGAGTTTCTTTGTCAAAAATATGTTATCTTAATGTCAGTGAGGCACTGAAGCCTCTGAATGTTATTTCTGTGACAACTTTTCTTAAAGATTGTACCTTACAAAATGTGACAGAAGTGCATTTTGCATTTTTCTTATTGCGGGGAGTTTGATTTATGTCCAAGGTCCCATCTGTTGTTTTTTATTGTTTTAATCTTAATACCTTATTTCAATCTGTTTGCCTTCTCAAATCCCCACAGATATTCTGGAATATTAACTAGGCTCTTACAGGTTTTGTGTGAAGCAAATTCTATTATATTTGTC